GAGATCAGAGAGACCAGACAGCTACACACTTCGAATGATGCTCAAGTTGGAAATGCAGGCTCCGGATAAAGGGGTACTTTCTGAACTTGAGCAAAAAGTCTCCTGTGACTCGTTTTAAAAAAAGATTTATTTATTTATTTCAGAGCTGGGGGACGAGCAGAGGGGAGGGAGAAGGAGGGGGAAAGAATCTCAAGCAGATCGATGAGGAGTGCAGAGCCCAACATGGGGCTAGATCCCACAACCCTGAGATCATGACCTGAGCCAAAATCAAGAGTCCAACGTTCAACGGAGCCACCCCGGCGCCCCTCCTGTGATGATTTTATTTACACAGTTACTTCCTGGAAATATTATCACCCTTTTTAGAGCTCTGGGCCAGAAGAGAGAGAACCTATTTTTCTTTCTAAATCAGCAACTTGGGGGTATTTTCTTGTTCAAGGAAGAAAACAAGCAGGTTTGAAATTCCATTGCCAGATATGTTCCTTCTGAGGTATCACATACACTTAACAACTACTACAGCTCGGTATCCCGTGAAAGCTAGACAAAGAATGAATTTCTAACTACAGTATCACTGTAGCATTGCAAGATGCAGACCATCTGGCCCTGAAAGTAGACCAAATGGTATAATAAATATCAGAGATTTTTCAGTTGAGGATTAAATTATGTTATGTGAAAGTGAAGTTTAAAGTAAGGCTAGGCAGGGGCGCCTGGGTGGCTCAGTTGGTTAAACATCTGCCTTCGGCTCAGGTCATGATCCTCCCCCCCCCCGCCCCCGTTCTGGGATCGAGCCCCACATCGAGCCCGCATTGTGTTCCATGCTCAGCAGGGAGCCTGCTTCTCCCTCTCCCTCTGCCTGCCTGTCTAACTACTTATGATCTCTCTGTCTGTCAAATAAATAAATAAAATATTTAAAAATAAAATAAGGCTAAGCATCAGAAAAATGGTTTTGACCAATTTAAATCTTAGAGATAAATAACCATCTCATCACATACACACAAATAAATGGTAACTCTGTGAGGTGATGGATGTGTTAACTAACTTAACTGTGGTAATCATTTCACAAGATACACAAATGTCAAATCATCACATTGTATATCTTAACTTACACAAAGTTATTTGTCAATTATATCTCAATAAAACTAGGGGGAAAAAGAAAGAAATACCATGGACCAATTTAAAGAATACAAAAAACCCCACAATACAAAAACAAAACACAATTAAGGAAAAGAGACAGTTCCTTAAATTCAAAGATCCCATCATTGACTTTACACACACATACAATTTAGATTCTGCTTTTTCATTTAAAGGTTTATTCTAGAATATCACTCTTCTAACTGTAAAACAAACATCTAAACCATGAGATCCTTGAGGACGGAAACCAGATATCATTAATGTCTGAATACCCATTTACATTGTAAATGGTGTAGATTAAATATTTTTATTTAGGTAAATAATGATATAAAACTCAAATTTCTTTAATATAAAACTCAAATTTCTTTAAACACATTATTTCAAGTTACTATATTTTGGCCTGGAGTATAGGTCTGAAATGATACAAATTGCACCCAAATATTAAACCATAAGTTAAGCAAATTGAGTAGAAAAAAATTCTCCTGACTTAGATTTCCATCTCTCTTATCTGCCTCAAATTATTTCTATTGAAGATATTTAGTTAAACCTTTGATGGACAACATGTAGAAAAGTCTGCCTACAACTGGGCTGAAACAAGCTTATAGGTGCTGGGCAGGGGGCCGCGGACTCTGAGGAGGTGCGTTTCCTTTTTTTTTTTTTAAGATTTTATTTATTTATTTGACAGAGAGAGACACAGTGAGAGAGGGAACATAAGCAGGGGGAGTGGGAGAGGGAGAAGCAGGCTCCCCGTTGAGCAGGGAGCCTGATCTGGGGTTTGATTCCAGGACCCTGAGATCATGACCTGAGCCAAAGGCCAATGCTTAACGACTGAGCCACCCAGGCGCCCTGAAGAGGTCCATTTCCTGCTGGAAGCCAGTTCTGTTCTCTATTCTGCTTTAATCCAAGTCTGCTTAGATGAAGCCCCACTAAGTAGCTACTGACCATTTAAGTATGAAATTTATAGAACAGGGGCACCTGGGTGGCTCAGTCGGCTGGGCGGCCAACTCTTGATTTTGGCTCGGGTTATGATCTCAGTGTCCTGGGATCAAGCCCTGTGTCAGGCTCCTTGCTCAATGAGGAGTCTACTTGAGGATTTTCTATTCTCTCTCCCTCTCCCTCTGCCCTCCCCCACCGCTTGTGCTTATGCATGTGCTCTCTAAAATAAATAAATCTTTTAAAAAAGAACAAATATATAAGTAACTTAAAAGTAAAGTAGAAAAGTGGTTTTCTTTTTAAAGAAAAAGCAGATGGAAGAGCAGCCATTGCTCTTGAGAACACAAAGCACAACACTGAGCCTCCTTTCCCCAGATGTCCCACAATCCCCATTTGTCAACATCTCATTTCTCCCACCCTCTTGTTTCTGGCTCTATGGCTAGAGTTACCAAAGAAGCTTCATGGATAGCAAAAAGCTAAAGGAAACTGGAGATTCCACACAAGATTTCCAAAGGTGATAGACACACATGGTGTAGACTATTATTAAGACTGGTAGGGGCGCCTGGATGACTCAGTCATTAAGTGTCTGCCTTCAGCTCAGGTCATGATCCCAGGGTCCTGGAATCGAGCCCCGCATCGGGTCCTTGCTCAGCGGGAAGCCTGCTTCCTCTTCTCCCACTCCCCCTGCTTGTGTTCCCTCTCTCACTGTGTCTCTCTCTGTCAAATAAATAAAATCTTTAAAAAAAAAAAAAAAGACTGGTAGCCTGCTTGCTTTTAGCTTTACAGGCTTCTTAAGAACACTTTTTATTGAGAGAAATTCTGCCGGTCTTGGAGCAGCAAGGAATAATGAGGCTTACTTTAATTGTAACAAGAATGACTGTCTATACCCTATGGCCAAAGAACAGGTATTCATCTCCAAGTCTGTGGGGATCAGATGAACTAGGGTTTTTTTGTTTTTGTTTTCTGGGTTTTTTTCTTCAGTGATTAACACATATGATATGGTTTAATAAAATTGCTTTTCTTATGTTTCATTGCTTTATAAAGTCACACCTCATATGCCATCATCAATAAAATTCCATGATGGCCAATACCAAATTTAGAAGGTTCAAACATTGTAAAAGAATGACAAGGAGTTATAGACCCTGAGGTAAATTTCAGGATGGGTCAGCCCTATTCACTGTGGAGTGCAAGTACTAAGTTCTGTCTAGTTCTGCCTGAGAGGAGAGCACGTTATCTCTGAGTACTGTCATTGACCACCAAGCAATGAACAAAAGTTCCCTTGGCTTTGGCACTTTATGTTGCCTTGGAAGGGTTTCTGACTGGTGAGTGGCAGAGAGGACAACGAATAATCCAAAATGCATCAACAGCATTATCCCATTCGTCCATTCCTCAATCTAAAGCCCAGTAGATGGGGTACCTGGGGGGCTCAGTTGGTTGAGCATCTACCTTCAGCTCAGGTCATGATCCTAGGATCCTGAGATCAAGCCCCACGTCAGGCTCCCCGCTCGGTGGGGAGTCTGCTTCTCCCTCTGCCAATGATCCTCATGCCTGTTCCTTCCCTCACTTGCTCTCTCTCTTAAATCAATACGTAAAAAATCTTAAAAAAAAAAAATAAAGCCCAGCAGAGGGGAAGCTTTTTGGGAGGGAAGAAGAGGGAAAGTTGGTACAGATGAAGGCTGTGCTACTTCCCAAAGGCCTGATGCTATAGACCACACCTAACTAAGAGTGCAGAATATGATCCCACTTTGAAAATGAATGCCAATAAGAATAGAGCATCTTGAACTATGAATCTATCCTGAAATTAATAATACACAATACATTAACTAACTTGAATTTAAATAAAACCCCCAAAAGATGCTTTCTAAATATATATATGAACATATATGTAGCCATCAGAAAGGATGAATACCTACCATTTGCATCGACATGGATGGAACTGAAGGGGATTATGCTAAGTGAAATAAGTCAAGCAGAGAAAGACAATTATCATACGGTTTCACTCATACATGGAACATAAGGAATAGCGCAGAGGACCAAAGGTGAAGGGAGAGAAAACTGAACGGGAAGAAATCAGAGAGGGAGACAAACAATGAGAGACTCTGGACTCTGGGAAACAAACAGGGTTACAGAAGGGAGGGGGGTGGGAGGACGGGGTAACTGGGTGATGGGTATTAAGGAGGGCACGTGTTGTGACGAGCACTGGGTGTTATTCACAACCAATGAATCGTTGAACACTACACCAAAAACTAATGATGTACTATATGTTGGCTAACTGAACATAATAAAAAAATAAAAAACAAACATATATATATCTAAATATATATATAGATATATATATGGAGAGAGAGCATCTTGGGAAAATGCAGGACACTTATTCTGAAATTTTAACTCAAGAATGTGGAAGTCACACCAGTATGCAGGTACATCATCCTCTTAAAAATCTAGATGGGTATTTGGGGTTTCAAGCACCACACAAAAACTTTTTTAAAACTTTAATCATCTAGTATAGTGAACATGTTAAGTAGAGTTTTAAAAGAGACCCTACATCTCAAATGGGTTAAGCCATCATTTATGACCATCTTCATGAAACATGGTTAACTCTGTCTTTCTGGTGATACGAGATTAAACATGAAACCAAACTTTTTTACTCACAACAGATAACCAACTAAACTGCATGTACATGTACAGGTTTATACAAAAGCTGTGATATAACTATATTTGCCATTTCATATCAGGGTCATAGGCCACCCGCTCACTATGTATATCCCACCAAACACAAGAGCAGCCATCTTTGTTTTAATACAATTATGGGTAGAAATCATATGATGTAAAATAGAAGTTCTTCTGTAAAGTTTAGAGTAGAAGAAGGGAAGACAAAAAATTCCCATGAAGTAAAAACTAATTCCACATTGGTCCAGGACTCCATAAAACCTGAGATAAACTGTAGTCCTCTAAGGCCTTTACTTGGCTCCAGTTCACCAAGACACTTCAGTATGCTTCAAACTGACTCATCATCATTCTCCTGCTGTATTCATAAGCCAAAAATAGTGACCCATTGGCAGGGAATGCTCGAATCATAGTAGCGGTCAGTCCAGAATATAAGGCTGCTATTCCTTCATTTTTCACAATACTTATAAGAGTTCCCAGAAACCCAGCCTGTTTTCCAGACATGGAAAGAACTTGAATTCTGGATTTGATACAATCCACTGGATAGATGACAAGCCAAAGACAAATTCCAGCAATTCCACCACTTAACATCAAAGGGACAGGGCCTAGTTCATCTTTTGATCTCCCCGATGCAAAAAATGATCTACTCAGTTCATAGCCACCGAAGAAGAAGAAATAGCCCGGTACTTCTTGAAGGAGAGTGCTCGAGAGTCCTTGGTAGAAGCCCAAGGGGCCTTCCTTTCTAAGGATACTCTTCACGACGGACCAGATTGTATTTTGGCTTTTTGCTATTTTCCCTGACATCTCCATTTCGTACATGGTCTGCAGTCGGCACTTGACAAGCTCAGTGGGGCACAGGGCCAGCGCAGCAAACGCGGAGGCGAAGGAACCCGCAGCTGCCGTCTGCAGATCACTCAGCCTCGCCTGCTTGTCCAGTCCAACCACTTTCCTCACAAGCTCTTGGCAGAAGCCATAGCACATGAAGAGGACAGAGTTCTCGGCGACGTAGGCCATCAGCGCAGGGCAGGTTCCTTTGTAGAAGCCCCGCAGGCCCACTTGGGAGTACGTTTTCAGGCAGCAGTCGGTGAGGCCCTTGTACAGGCCGGGGAACGTCTGCATCTTCACTTTCACTGTGTCGAAAGGCTGCCCGGTCAGGACACAAGCCGTGCCCCCGACCGCGCCCGCTGTCAGGTCGATGGCGGCTTGGATGGCAGGATTGGACTTCATGTTCTCACACTTCTGCTGGTCTCTGTGGGAGGCGACTCTCTGGAGCTCAGGGCAGGTGTCTCACGCCCAGCCGCCCATTCTCGACTCTCGGTCCTCCGGGGGAGAAGCCGCTTAACCCCAGGCTAGGTCTCGGGCCGCTCTCCGCGCGCACGGAAATAACGCCCCGCAGGCCTGCTCACGCCCCGCGCTCCAGCGCGCCCTGCCGCCCGCCGCTCCCAGGCCCGGCCGCCGCCCGCCGCCGCTGCCTCGGCCCGGCCCGCCCGGCGCCCGCCGGCCCCGGACACCGGCTAAGTACACACCTTGTTTTTCTCACGTAGGCTCCACGCCGGAGCCCGACGCTGGGCTTGAACTCACGGCAGTGCGATGGAGCCCTGAGCCGAGCTCAGAGTCCATCGCTTAACCGACTGAGCCCCTCCGGGCGCCCGGTAAGTACACACTTTTAATGAATTATAAGACAGTGATTGAAAGCTATTCGATAAATTCTTGCACTTACGGCCAGAGACTCTAGACGCCGCTGTTAACCGGCCGCGAAAGAAATGCTTTCCTTTTCCGCTAGACTCCCCTCCCCGTCTCCCCACACCTTACCAGGCAAAACAAAAGGGGATATGCTCCTAGTTCGCGGGGCCTGGAGTCAAACGGTCAAATCTACAGAAACAGAGGTTTAAGATAGGGAAGACAAACTACTTGGTGGGGGGTGGTTTACATGACAATTGGTGGCACCCTTAAGGTCTCTAGGACAGGAAAGGCAGCTCTGCAGACGTGTGGGCCCCGCCGCGCCTCCCCTGACCCGGCTCTTCCCCCGCCCGGGGACGCTGGCGGAGGAAGGCGCTCCGCCCTGGCCGCGGAGCTGGAGAATGGCTACTTTCGTGGCAACATCGCCAAGGGTCTGGGGCCGGAGCCCTGGGAACTGGGGGCTCCGAGTCCTCATCATTTCTAGAGGTAGGACACGGCGTTTTACAATTGGCGTGGAACACGGGTATTTATATATTCACTAAGCAAGTTGACCGAAAAGAGCTGTGGGGCTGCGGTGCTCTTTCCGGGCTCGGGCCGAGGTTCTTGAGGAGTCACAGAGCCTGATGCAGCAGCGGATGATCGGGATATAAATGACAACAGGCCTAGCTTCCAAGGCAAGGTGCGGTTTTGGACATTAGCTTGAGGATACCGCTGTCAGGACACGCTTTTCCCTCCCAGATAGATGCTCATAATCCCAGCGTGAGAACGAATTCTCTTAAGGTTTACATTCTAAGGCCTCCTCGGTATTTTACTTTGGGGGTAAAAATAAAATGGGCTCAGGTCATGATCCCGGAGTCCTGGGATCGAGTCCCACATCAGGCTCCCGGCTCAGCGGGGAGCCTGCTTCTCCCTCTGACCTTCTCCCCTCTCATGCTGTTTCTCTCTCTCTCTCTCAAATCAATACATAAAATCTTTTTTAAAAAAATAAAATGGAGGGGGCAGGAAATAGGCTGAAATGATTCTCCCTTCGGAAAGCTTTCCTTGTCTGATTATCTTTGGCTGTCGATTAATCTATAAAAGTGAGGCACTGAAAAGCAGATGGTGCGTGAATAGTTTGTCAACAGGTAGACTTCATTGTAGTAGATAGTGACCTGGCCTTTTCTTTAGAGAATGCCCAAATGTCAGTATTTGATTTCTTTTCTCTGCACCACATGGTTTCTTCAGAGAATAATCTTGGAATCTTAACTGTGTGTGGGTATCTGTGAGGGAGATGTGCGGCTTGGATACTGATTTAATGAGATCAAGAATGGGGGAAGAGGGGTGACATTACTGCAGTAAAGTATATAGGTCTTCACATAATTTTCCTTGTTTGTTGCTATACATTCCTTTATTTGTGCCTGCTTTCTCTGAGTTTGAGCCTTCTTTGGTTCAATTTACCTAGAAAATAAACATCTGTGGGATGGGGACGGAAGAGTCATCCTAGGGAGGGCTAGGGATCCTGGACATCCAACAGCTCTGAATAGACGTCAATGAATCCCATATATCCAGCCGCGTACCTTTCTCCCTTCCTTGGAAACTTCTGCCGCAAACAATGAGCCTCTCACAGGTTCTGTATCAAGTGGGTTTGTCTCTCTTTGGTATACTGCCTTTCAGACATTTAGCATGTAACTTTCTCTGATCTCTGAATTAATTTATCAGTCCTTCCTCTGCTTTGGCCGTCTGAAAATAGGTTGACATTTTTCATTCACTGTCTTATCTCTTATTCTTTTTGACCTTGGGGTTTTTTGTTATCTTGGTAAACTTTTTTTTTTAAAGATTTTATTTATTTATTTGACAGAGAGAGAGAGAGATAGGGAGAGCAGGAACACAAGCAGGGGGAGTGGGAGAGGGAGAAGCAGGCCTCCCGCCAAGCAGGGAGCCCGATGCGGGGCGGGATCCCAGGACCCTGAGATCATGACCTGAGCCGGAGGCAGATACTTAACGACGGAGCCACCCAGGCGCCCCTTGGTAAACTTTTTGACAGAGAAAAGAGCTATCTGAGAACACTGCCATTTTACACTAGAAAAAGATTTTAAAATTTTTCATGTCATATTTGAGGGATTTTAAAAAATTTATTATACTTTTTTTTTAAGTAAACTTTACCTCCAACTGGGGTTAGACCTCACCAGCCCAAGATCAAGGGTTGCATGCTTTACTGACTGAGCCAGCCAGGTTCCCTGAGGGATTTTTTTGTTATGTTTTGATATTACCCTCAGGAAAGTCAAGGAGAAAAAAAGTATATTTTAATATTTATTGTGGAGGCCCTATCAAGTTATCTGGAAGTGTTTTCAATAGTTCAATGACCACTGATTGTCAATTAATTACATCTGGCTTATTATTTATTTAAAAAAACACATACTGAGTTTTTACAAACACAAGCCATACAGGAAACTGTAATAAATCATAAACTGCTTTTGAATTAAGTTCATACATATGTTTTGGAGAAGACAAATTAGTGATCCAGGCCAGGGATCACAAGGGCATTAATAGGGAAATGGTCTATACCTTTACTGAATTGCCAGAATAGTTGCATAAATAGTAGAGACAGAGATCAAATTCCATGCATTTAACTAAACTGCTGGACTTGGAGAGAACAAATTCCAGCATATATTAGATCGCTGCCCAAGATAATAGGTGAGCAACTGAAACCAACTTTTTTTTATTCTAACTAACCAAAGTGTTGATGCTTCTTGTTTTAAATTGAAGGACTTCTTCCCAAGCATACATACCAGAAAATAATGGCAAAGAATTTGCAGCTTTTCATTGAAGACCACTACCCTTGACAAGATGAATGCCCAAATCACATGCTTCCTAGCAGTTAGACTGAATGGCCAGATAGGATTACCAGAGAAAGTAGGGTGTGAGCTAAAGCCTGAATGACAAAAAGCCAAACATGAGAATATCTGGAGACTGTTCCAAGAAAAGGGAACTGTACATGCTAAATAAAGCTCTGTGGTGAGAAAGAGACTGGCATTTGAAGTACAGAAAAAAGTCCAGTATGACTGCTGTGTAGTGAGCAGTCTTCCCAGTCTATATTTTCACATAGAATTCTTACTGGGTAATAAAAGATAACCAGAGTTTAAAACACAGACCTTCAAAGACATGAATTCTCACAATTTGTCCAAATTTTCATCTCAAATAAAAATTTGATCTCCAAATTAAAAATGTCAGGCTTTATGACACTTAGAACTGAATATAAAGATCCCAGGGTGCGCCTGGGTGGCTCAGTCGTTGGGCGTCTGCCTTCGGCTCAGGTCATGATTCCGGGGTCCTGGGATTGAGCCCCACATCGGGCTCCCTGCTCTGCGGGAAGCCTGCTTCTCCCTCTCCCATTCCCCTTGCTTGTGTTCCCTCTCTCACTGTCTTTCTCTCTGTCAAATAAATAAATAAAAATCTTTAAAAAAAAAAAAGATCCCATTTACCTAGTCTGTAGATAATGAAAATTGGATATTGATATGAATGTTTATTGCAGCATTTGGTATAATAAAAAATTTAAAATGGAACAACCTAAGTGACCAGCAATAGGGGAGATTATCTTTTTAAAAATCTGTATCATGGGACGCCTGGGTGGCTCAGTTGGTTAAGCGTCTGCCTTTGGCTCAGATCATGATCCCAGGGTCCTGGGACCAAGTCCAGCATTGGGCTCCTGGCTCAGCAGAGAGCCTACTTCTCCCTCTGCCTGCCATTCCCCTGCTTGTGCTCTGTCTCTCTGACAAATAAGTAAACAAAACCTAAAAAGAATAAAAATAAATAAAAAAATAAAAATCTGTATTATGAACAGAAGCAGTAAATCTATATATCCTGATAGGGAAGGATCCTTATATTTTTGAGTCATAAAAATTTTCAGTAGTGCCTACAACAAAATCATATATATTTTTTGCTTTACAAAACTACATAAACATATAATTAATTGTACACCAAATAAAGGCCTGGAATGATACATCTCAAAATGTTAACAGGTTACTTTAGAAAGTTGGTGTGAAAGGGACTTTACTTTTTGTCTTTTGTAAAATCTCTGCACTGTTTAATATTGAAAACTGTAGCCCAACTACATACCGTACTCATTAGCCAGGAGGAACTGTGAGAAAAGTGAGTCCTTTTGGTAACACAGGACTTACTTTAAGGAAAATGGGTCCCAATCTTCTTAAGTTTTTGTCTTTTGAAGTTTATGTAAGAGATTAATTACTCTTATGGAGTTCTTAATATTAATACAAAGCCAAACTATAAATATATCAAGTAAAAAACAAAGTTGTAGTAGTTAGCTGAGTCAGTTTGTTTATGCTGCAGATATATTTGAAGTAAACTGTTTCTGCTGTAATTAGATTCTTTCATTTGAAATCAGCCACTTAAAATGGCTTTCTTTATACTTTTCTTTTTGATCATTTTTGAATTCAATTATTTAATCCCTGTTATGTTCAGATACTAGTTTGCTTTTATTGTTAATAACACAGGTGCCCTTTTATTGTTAATTTACTAAGTTTCAGGCATTGTTCTAAGTCCTTTATCTG